AAAAATGGCCATCTGAAGGATTAATACTAGAATGTAAAAATTGTAAAGAAAAAGTTCATGATCCTTCAAGAATTTCTTGTTGTGCTCGTCGAGTAATATCTTTAGAACCTGATTTTCTTGCACAAAAAGGAGCAATTGAAGAATTAATTGAAAAGGCTGATCATATGTGTATTTTTTACTCTAAATTTCATTGTGAATTAAATTTCATTGAAAGATATTGGGGAGCTTGTAAAAGATATGTACGAGAAAATTGCAATTATTCATGAAATGGATTACAAAAAGTTGTACCAAAATCCCTTGACTCAGTACCTTTAATTACAATTAGAAAATTTGCAAGAAAATGTTGGCGTTATATGGATGCTTATAAAAAAGGTATTAGTGGAAAATTGGCATAATATGCTATTAAGAAATACAAATCACATAGAAGAATTCCAGATAGTATTTTAGAAGATTTAGAAGAATTAAATAAATAAATTTTATTTTAAAATGTCTAATAATTATTTTTAGACCAATAAAAATCAATTCACGTGATCAAGTCACGTGAAAATCTGCAAAAAAATCTCAGACTCCTTTGATGAGTATAGATGTTATGCACCATATATACTGATCATTTGAAACCATATTTGAAAAAATCTGAATGAACATCACAGATTATCATTAGTTAATCATATTTCTTATAAATACAGACCTATTGAAGACTTTAATAAACTATTTGGTAAACTTTAAAATGTCAATACTAGACAATTTTGAAACTATATTAAAATAACTAAAGAATACAATAGATTTTTCAACTACATATGTTCAGATACTAGTCGAAATAGTCCAAATTGGCTAAAAATCAGATGGCCGATTTTAGGCTGATTTTAATACTATTTATGACCAATTTGCCATATTTTTTAATTAGCACAAACAGGTGCTAATAGACACTGATCAACTCTGATTGGACATGACCATTCAGAACTTAAATTCAACCATAAATCAGCCTAAAACTGGTCTTAATTCAGCAACAATTCAGACGCTAAAGACACTGATCGACTCCAATTGGACATAGCTATTCACCATTAATTCAGAATTTAAATAACCATAAATCAGCCTAAAATTGGTCTCAATTCAGTAACAATTCAGATGCGATCGATGCTGATTGACTCCAATCAGACAAGTAATTTAACTATAAATCAGCCTAAAATTGGTCTCAATTCAGCAACAATTCAGACATTGATCGATGCTAATCGACTTTAATTGGACAAGCAATTCAGCATCAATAATCAATACATTTTATTTATTAAATTTATTAAATATTAAAATTTTATTAATAATAAAAACCTAATATAAATTTACAAAAATATAACAAAATATCACTAAAATCTACTGATTAATTTCCTATTAAAAATAGAATAATAAAATAATAAAATATGATACATTTTCTCTCAAAATCCCTTTAAATCATTCTAAATATAGATAAATAAATAATATATAATAAAAATATAATCCATTCATTCTGAAATCGTTTAAAAAATATAAAAATAGTAAAAATAATAAATATAAAATGTAAAAAATAGAAAAATCAACCTAAAATTGCCTGAATAAAGATAATTAATAAAATTGACCTGTTCTCACCCCAAATCGCCCAAAAAAAAATGTAAAAAATAATTATTAAAATTGACCTGTTCTCATCCCAAATCGCCTAAAAAAATAACGTAAAAAAATAATAAAATCAACCTGTTTCCACCTAAATCGCCCAGAAAAAAGTAAAGAAAATAACGTAAAAATAATAAAATTGACCTGTTTCTACTCCAAATCACCCAAAAAAGTAAAAAAAATAATAAAATAATTGACCTATTCCTATTGCAAATCATCTGAAGAAACGTAAAGATAATTATTAAAATCAACCTATTCCTACCTACAAATGCCTGCCGAAACCTTCTCAAAATAATTTTGTCATACCCTTTTCTATGTTTTTAATATAGTTTCGACAGTTTCAGCTTTCGTCGTATCAAAAGGGTTTTGTCGTATCCCTTATTATGATTTTAATATAGTTTCGTCTAAGTTTCGACTGTTATTAAGGGTTTCGTCTCTCATTATTATTCCCATCCCAAATCACCCCCAAAAAAATGTAAAGAAAATAATAAAATAATAATAAAATTGAACCATTTTCACCCTAAATTATCTGAAAAAAATCATAAAAAAATAATAAAAAATCAACTTGTTCTCACCCCAAATCACCTGAAAAAAACGTAAAGAAAATAATAAAATAATAATAAAATCAACCCAAATCACCCGAAAAAAATGTAAAGATAATAATAAAAAATTAACCTGTAAAGAAAATAATAAAATAATAATAAAATCGACCTGTTCTCACCCTAAATTACCCGAAAAAAAACATAAAGATAATTATTAAAATTGACCCGTTCCCACCCCAAATCATCTAAAAAAAACGTAAAGAAAATAATTAATAAAATTGACCCAAATCACCTGAAAAAAACATAAAGATAATAATAAAAAATTGACCTATTTTCACCTCAAATCACCTAAAAAAATGTAAAGATAATAATAAAAAATTGACCTATTTCCCAAAACGCCTAAAAAAAAATGTAAAGAAAATAATAAAATAATAATAAAATTAATCTGTTCTCACCTCAAATCGCCCAAAAATTCATCATTCGCTATTGTTTATTACGAGATCATCTTCACTTTCTTTAGAAACAGATAAAACCCCTTCTGACTTCAGTATATTCCTCAGTTTCAGTTACATATTCTTCTGCAGTTGTAACTCCTGCTTCAACTCAGTATCGTAGACCACACCAGGTTGTGTTTTATATGATCACTTTGGAGTATTATAGGATGTGATCATTGCACATCATCATTGTATTTTTTCTTTCGTTGAATTTGAGATGATGATATTGTAGCAGCACAAGAATCAAGTACTTTTCTTAGTAAATTTTTCAGCTAAAAGAAGAAAATAATTAGTGGAATATACTAAATAAATTCGAAATATGCTAAATTAGATAAAGAAAATAATAAACCTCAGCCGATCGTTAAGAATAGTCATATACAGCGATAATGGATCTTTGACGATTTTCTTCATCTGTTTCACTGATTTCTAGTGAATAATATAGGCAATCACTGAGAATTCTGAGTAAAGGTTGCCTTTCATATTTTGCAATTCGTTGGTCATTTTCTTTAAACAAATACTTTAGGATAAGAATTATATGAGTAGAATGTATTTGATTATATATAATGTGTTGAATACTAGTAATGATACATAATGCGACAAAGAACTTTTTAATATTATCTTTATTATTCTTGTATAATTCTTCATATTCTTGATAGATAAAGTTAAGTTATTTCTTATGTTTAATAATAAAAAAGTCAGATACATCAACCTCAAGTTCATATCTAGAGTCAGTATCTATAGCTTCTTTTGCTTTAGTAGCTTCATTCAGTTCTGCAACCTTTTTAAGAGTGAGTATAAAGATGTTGAGATGTTTTTCTAACTTATTTAATCGATACATAAAAAAGGTAAGATCATTGTGTAAATTGGCTAGTGTTATTTTAATTGCATCTAATTTATTCAAAATCCGTTATATATGGGCTTGCATCAGTTAAAAAAAAGGAAAATCACCCTTCCAATCAATTTTGAGATTTTTGGTTTATATAATGTAAATTTATAATATGCCTTATTTTCACTTAATTTGGTAGACTAAAAGCATAATAAATCTTTGAGATAATATTAAAAAACTGAAATATGCATAATATCGATTATTTATTTAATCACTAAATTATCTTATAAGGTAATAGTCATAAGCAAACATAGGTTATAAGCTTCATGACATCATAAATCTGATAACACATTTTTATTCTAGGTCAGAAGATTTACTTTCATGATATAAGATATTAGATATTATTTATGATTTTTGACTAGTTTTGATTCTTCCAAAACATTTTTTAATATTCACTTAATAAGTTTATCTTTGTTAATAACATTTTCTTGCAGCTCTTTCATATGCTTTAATTTTACAAAAGAGTTAGCCTTTTTATTCTTCTCTAGGTCTAGAAATTACAAATCAGATATAAAGGTTAGTTTACTATACTTTATTTTTTTTATTTTTATTTATTTTTTTTTTATCCTTATTATTTTTTTTTTTATTATTATTTATTATTTTTTTTTATTTTTATTAGATCTTCATCTAACATTTGTAACTGAGATTTCATATCCTTAATTTCTGATTTCTTTTCTAAATAAGAATTTGAAGTTTAGAATTCCTTAATTTATCTGATAATAATGGCTAAAGCTAATGGATTAGAATCAGAATTAACAGATGAAGCTGAATGAATAGTCCTTAAATGAATAAAAGTAAGATTATTCTATTTTTTAATTGTTTATTTTTATTTTTAGAAAATGTAATTTAATGTTCCCTATTCTTTTGTTTTAGAAATAAAAATAGATAAACAGACGAAGCTAAATGATTGACCCCTTAATAAATGAATTGGTAAGTTCATTTTTATTTTAATTTTTTGGCCTTTTCTTTTTTTTAGAAATAGAACTAAAAGGATGGCACTAAACGAATAAATTGGAAATTAATTTATATTAGGGGAAGGATGATTCACCATCTAGTACAAAGGTACATAAATTTGAAAAATTAATTCATGATTCATATAATAAGTAAAGATCTGCATATAGTAAAATTTGAAGACAATCGATTATATAATTATAAAAATCAGAAAATTTGTCTAAAAAATTTACATATTTTTCACCTAGAAAAATAGAAAAAATTATAAAAATTAATAGCCTATTATAGTCATTTTATACATGTAAATTTATTTTAGACGCAACGCATTTTTAAAAGCTTTTCAAACACAGAATGTGTGAATTTTGAAATGAAACTTGTAATAAATAAATATTCAATTCCTAAAAAAAATTTCCTTTTAATTTATATTTTATTGATTGTTATTACTTTTTCTGCTGCTGCAGTCTTCAAATAAGCTGAATATCTTAAAATTCACCCTCTAATTATGTCAACTTTTTGCGGTATCTTTTCTTTTTTCAAATGTCTCGCTTCTGCTGCCATATGTAATTCTTTCATCATATCTTTAGCTGATAAATATGATTTATCAGATACATTTTCACTATAAAAATAACCTTTAAACAAATAAATAACTTCCTTTGAAATTCTTTTTCTATCTCTTTTTTACCAAATTTTTGTTTTTCGCATAATGCCCAGCCACTTTTAATCAGAATATACAATTTTTATTAAAAAAAATTATTTTTTATTTATTGTACTTAATTAGAGTATTCAATAATTTAATTAAAAATTTCCAATACTAACCGATTATTTTCTTCTAGCTACTATAAAGTTATTTTTACTATTTTGAATGAAAATTATACACTTAAATAGAATCTATATTGATTACAAATTTGTAAGTAAAATAATTTTAAAAATAAAAGATTTTTTAAAAAAAAAGCTTATATTGTTACTTTAAAGTTCTGTTTAATAGATCAACTAATTATGCATAAGATAATTTTAGATCATAGCTTATATTGTATTTATTTAATTTATCACAAAGTTGAGTAATATGTAATCGATCAAGTTTGATACCTAAAAAAATTTTTTTAAAATTATTTGTTTGATTAAATTTAATAAATATTGTATATTAAAATACCTAGAATATTTGAAACAGGTATAGACCATTGAGCTTTTGATGATGTATGAATATTGAATTTTGATTTAGGTATTTCTAAAGGTACTGAAATTATTTTGTTAATTTTAGATGGAAAAAAATTGATTAAATTTCCAATATGAGATAATTTATGAGCTTGAATAAAGCTGCTATCTTTTTCTTCATATGACCAGTACCATTCTGTTTCTACTTTTTTTCTTTTTGATCTATTAGGTTCTAAATGAGTTATTGATATTCTTTGAATATTTTGTATTGCCTCTTCAATTTGTGAACCACTTGTCAAATCTGTTCCTAAATATATGAATTGCCTAATTGCATGTGTAATCTGAATATAAATTATATACTTTAGATTTGATTAGCTTAATAAATAAAATAGAATTATACATACTTGCACATAATATGAGTCAGCTATTGTCTTAGCTTCCTCTGGTTCTAAGAATAACCTTTTGATTTCAACTTGATACCAATCAAACCAATAGCTAAATATAACCATTAACTTTAAATTATAATAATAGGGTCCATTATCTGAAATAAAAGTTATCTATTTTGGTTTTTTTTCAAGAGAAATAATAACTGTATGAAGAGATAATGCAGTAAAAAATGTATTCTAATGTTGATCATCTAACTAATAATAATATATGCGTATATCTAATTAATCATTTATATCTTTAACAAATAGTAATACAGTATGCAATATCCATCCTCTCTTTTCAAAAAAATCTTCTTTTGTTTCTCTTGTTAATTGTTTAAGTACTTTTATTTTATAGTTTACTATAATTAATATACTATCTTAATTAAGTTTATTGAGATATATATCAAATTATGCATTTAAAAATACTTTTCACGCTAAATGAGCCATATAATATATTAATTTATCTTGATTAATTAAAAGAAATTTTAAGTGATCTTGTATCACATTTTCTTTAAGCCATTCAAAAATTAACCAAAGATTTTCATAATCTGGACAAGTATTTATATGTAAGTCTTTACATATACCTAATAAATATGCAAGACAATGAGAAATACAAGAATTATGCTTTAGCTTTCCATTAAAATTTACTGATAAATTCTATTTAAATTCTCTTTTTATATGATATTGTAATGCTTCAATATGACCAATTATAGCTATCTAATAAAAATTTTTTAATTAAAAAATTTAAAAAAAATTTTAATGATATATTAACATAATTATAATTACCTTTGTATTAAAATTTCTAATATTTGAAGATGCTAAATTAATTAACTTATCAAAAACATCATACCTATAATTACAACAGGTTGAACATAATCTGACTAAATCTTCTTTATATTTATATTTTCCTTTTACTAATTCTGCTATAAATGTTGTTCTTTTAATTCCATTAGAAAAAGTTTCTAAATATTATTCCTAAAGAGCTGATTTTGTATTTTAAAGATAAAGAACAGGTAAACTAATTTTAGCATCTACTTTATATGAACTCATTGTAATAATTTCTTTATTAGAAAAAAAATTTCAATTTGTTTTTTAGCTTTATCTGATATATGATTTTGTGTAATAACTGGTTTTTCAATAGGAAGACATTCTGATCTATTAAGTCATGCATATTTTTGAGCTTTATTCAAAGTTCTTAAGGATGTTTTATTTAAATTATTTATGTTAATAAAATTAATAAAAAGTTTTTTTATTAAAAATAATTTATTTTATATATTTACATTTAGTACTTTTAATTACTCTAAACTATAATCCTCAGCAACTATTAAAAGAATTTTTTGTTTGTTATTGATTCCTTTTTTATTATTATCAATTGCTTTATTAATAGTTATTGCCAATTTTTTTATTTGTGCACATGAATCCAAAGTGCATAATTCTTTTAGAATTATAAATAATTATTTATTTTTATATAACATTTGTATTGTTTCTAAATCTTTTCTCCAATTTTTCGCTTTTGTTCAAAATTTATTCTATTAAAAAACTTATTTTAGTTTAATATCAATGATATAAATTGTAAAAAAATATATTTATTATAAAATATAAATATTACCAGTTTTTCATTAAATAGATAAGATGTTACATTAAAACATCCTGCTGCTTTTAATAAAGTTCGTCAAGCATAAAGTTCTTATGATTTGAATGTATAATTAAATGTATAAATATTCTTTAGGATTGATTTTAATTCAATAATATTACTAATTTAATCGTACTAATGTAAAAAAATTTGATATTATTGAATATTAACATATGTTTGATGTTTAAGATAATGTATATATAATGATTCTAATTTAGATCTTTCTACCTAATTCTTTGATTGATATATTAAATTACTTTTATTTTTTATAATTTGTTGAGTTTTTTCGTCTATTAACCCAAAAAGATTTTTCCATCATATATAGGAAATATTTTAATTTTATTTCAAACTTCATTTGGAATTTTTTCTCTAAATACTTATTTTTCATCAAATTCTTCAAATCTATAAATAATATAAAAATTTTCAAGAAATTTTTGTTTGTATATAGCTTTTTTATTAATAAATAATGATATAAATCTGTAATCTGCTCCTTCACAACCTTTCCTATTTGAAATTTCAATATTATTTATAAAAATTTGTAATTTATTAAAATAAACAAAAAATGGTCAAAAGTCAACACCCTTCATAAGTCTTTTAAGAATAATAGACTGATTATTTAATCTAAATTCTTATAATTCAGAAAACTTTGTTTTATTTGAAAAAACTTTTTGATATAAATTAGTCAACCTAACATTACTTGTTTCTTTAATATCTCCTAATATACCATTTGCTTAACAATAATATCCAAGTAAATATGAATTATTTTTGTTATCTTCAATAATTTTTATAATAAGATACATATCAAGACGAATTGAATAAAATTTCTCCTTATTTTTTCATTAATAATTTTTAGCTACCATTTATAAAAAAATGTATCATAGTGAAGTTAAGGTATTATAGATCTAATGGAAATAATTCTAGGAGTAATTTGTTAGTGTTTTATCATAGTTTAATTAGTATATTATTACAAAAAAAAATGAGATTGAGAAAAAATTTTTTTCGCTATTAATTATATAGCCTCATATTTTTATAATTATTATTAAAGATGGTCCCCATAATTATTTTCAAATTTCAATTGAGTTGCAACTTAATTGCGTCATAAGAAAATTTAATTGCACCACAAGTTGCAACTCAATTGCGCTATTTTTTTTAATTGCGGTGACTATCTTTAATTATTATTGATTATCATGTGTATTTTTATCACAAATTACAAATTAATATTTTTACTAACTAATTTATATAAGTTTTCAAATGTGAAACTATTTAAAATCCCTCCTTACCCTTCCTGATAAGCATTTTTTTCTTTTTATTTTAGAAAATAGAATTTTAACGTTCTCTTTTATTTTTTTTTTAAAAACAGAACTGAACAAATGGTCTCTAAATAAACAAACTGATAAATTTGTATTTTTTTGTTTACCTTAGGGAATTTAATTAATGTTTTCTACTCTACTCTCTTTATTTAGAAACTAGAACAAATGGATAAAGCTAAATGACTGAGAACTTGAACAAACTATGATAAGTTCATTTACAAAAATTAATTCTTAATTATTTACTTAATTAAGCTATATATGTAATATGCTAAACCTCTATTTTAAAGTATTTTAATAATTTTTATACATATTTGTAATATAAATAAACTATTATATAATAAATTAATAATATTAATTATATTACATTATTTTATTATTATTTTGTAATACATTGATACATCAGTTTATACAAATTATGTATAATTTAATTGGATCAGTATCAGATAATATATTTAACCACCAGATTTTCTCTATTTAACTTTTTCTAATAATTTAAATTTATTAATAAAAAAAAAATAAATAAAGTTTAGTACAACTTTCTTTTTTTTAATTAGCTATTATAAAAATAAAATGTATCTTTTTTTATAATTTAAATAATATAAACAAAAATAGAAATAAGAATACCTTTTATCTATCTATAATTTTATTTTAATTTTCTATCTATATTTATTATTTATAAATTTAAGCATTTTATTAAATAAAATAGTTTCTTTTAAAATTTTATTAACTTTATTTATTCTCAGATTAAAGTATTTTTTTTTTAACAATTTATATAATATTTAAAAAAAAATGTCTCAAAACCAAAGCCTTTTTATTGATACTCATTCAGAACTTTATAAATTAAATAGTGTTTTAGAATAGTTACAAGATGAATATAAATTTGATATTGATTATGATAATAATACTATTTCTGAAAATTATGAAAAAAGTACATTTCCTATAGATGATGATATATCTCATTTAATTTTTATTAATTCTCAATTGAGGAATTTCATAATATTTAGAATAAAGATCCATTACATTATGAGAAAAGTGAAGTATCTGAAGAATTTAATAATAAATTAATGAAATAAGATGTTAAAGCATTTCAAAAAAATCTTACAATCACTCATTATTATTCAGAAAAGTGCTTAATTAATAATATCATTAATTATAAAATTGCAACTAAAAAATTTTAAT